ATGTATTTAAAAATTGTTTATAAATAAAGAACCGTTTCAATAAACTATTTGTAAATGTTAATACTGTATAGTTATAAAAATTTGATTATCTAGAATCTCAAATTAAAGTAAAAGAGAATTTTTTTTTTGTTTATAAAGTATAATGGCGATATTAATTGAATAGTCTATATATACCAGTAATTAAAATTAATCTAAAAAAAACCAAAACAATATGATATTCTTCGCTTATTCCCGGTTTTCCGGAGTCACTCTTAATTTCAGAACACTAAAGCGAGCCTCTGTGGCCTAATGGATAAGGCACCGGCCTCCTAAGCCGGGGATTGCGGGTTCGAGTCCCGCCAGAGGTATATTTGATTTGTACATTTTTTTTCTCTGTTATCAATAAGCTACTAACAAAATTTTATTTATATAAACAGTTATAACATTTTTATAATAATAGTATATTTTGTTCAGGTAATAGCCATTTTTATACTTTAATCATAAAATTAGTCGCTGAACTTTGTAATATAGTAATATAATACGATGAAAATTGCTTTCTGTTTGTTTTCCTTGAAAGCATAGACGACATTACGGAAACAAATTGAGCTCGATAAGTTAATCTGATAGATTTGACAGTTGCTTCGACAGTTGCGTGGGAAATTGCTTTTTTATTATGGTCAATATGAGTCTTAAAAAAATATACAAGTAGGTAAGAACATATGTCGAAATGAATTACCTATATACATAATGAATAAAAAGCTTATTTTATTTATTTATTCTATTCGCCACTAGATGGCAATAACGTAACTATGTGTACATAGCTTCGATAATGTCCACTTTCCGCTGCGTAATTATGTGTGCTATATATTCAATAAACGCAATACTGTGAAGAAATAATCACTACAATTTTTTAAAATTGCAATTTTATAATATGATATATTATTATTATTATCATCTGATGACAATAATATAAAATATTGTTTAGACATTACACTTTTAAATTTTAATAATTTAATTGTCAAGTACATGCACATAAATCATTTATTATGTAAAAAAGTTAAATATTTGTAACTATTTATCTACTTAATATCTATTGATTAAACTAAGGACGAAGCCACGTGGGCTACTAAATATAGGAAGCCATAAACTAAATAAGATTTGCGGCTTAATTGCCGTTTTTTACTTCGGCACATGTAATAGGTATATAATTTTAATATTGTCTGTTTACTACATTCAATATACGCATAATAAGCTCTTTATTACGTCGTACAGTCGCAATAAAGAGCAATAGAAATTGTGAAATGCCTTCAATATTGAAATGTCGACCCAGTTCGTGTGGCCACGGGGGGCCACAGCGGGGTGCGGGGTGAGGGTGTGCCGGAAGAGCTGTGGGGTGGCTCAAGTCACTACAATTAATAAATAGCTCGTCATCTATTTTATTACCAAGAATAACCGATCCCCGTTTTCGCACATTAGAGTTTTTACTCTACGAAGCTTTGTAGAAAGAAACGCTTTGAATTCTTCTATTCGCAGTTCATTTATTAAGTCATTTTACATAACATTACACTAAATATCTAGTTTTGACATTAATATGGAGTACAACATCAATATTTTAATTATTTTTGTACTAATACCATCTTTGCTAACTATAAGGACATATAATACAAGATGAATTATTATTAAATAACTCTTCAATAATAAGATAACCCGACTTTAATTTATACTTTATTTAAAAAATATAGATATTTTATTCAATTTGTCACAATTTTAGGTTCATTATATATTTTTTCAAGCATAAAGATATTGTGTTATTTAATAACAAATCTATTGTTGATAATTCATAAAGTTTTATTTCGGATAATGGTAGGTAGTTTTCATATTATCTATTTTTAGCGTGAAATAAATAACAACACATTTTCTTGTTTATCCTAACGAAACAAAACAATCTATTTAACGTGGCTGTGTACGGAAAAGGTAAAAAGTCAACTCAGGGCATTCACTAACATGAAAGACAAATATCTCAATTCTCATAGTGGGCGGCATTATTATCATAGTAGTGTACTATTAGTTAGTTTTAAATCTCGAACATGAATTTAAATATATGCAGCTATTCCGATTTATAGGCGACAGTAACTTTTCATCAGACAAGGTGCTTGTTTGTTTGTCGTTTATAGCAAATTGGAAAAGTAAGTTGTGAATCTTACATTGAAGTAATTTGCATACATAAATAAACCTACGCAAGTATGTATTAGTTTCAATTTCATATTGTTTTCTAGTGTTGAGTCGAGTGGCGATGACAGCGCTATGCGCGGCGGGTGGCCGAAACGTGCCTGTCACAGCTGTCAGATACATTGCAAAATGATTGCAAACAATACCGTTCATGTAATAACTACCACTCCGGGTGTCAGAACCATAACATATTCGTTTTCTGTATAAGTTATCAAACGCAACAAGTGACATACGTAAAAATGACATCGCTTTTCAATTTTTATATTTAGTATTATAATTTATTTATTTTCTAATATAATAAGTAAAAGTGAATATTTTTTACTACTGCGAGTGGGTAACAAACAGAAAGATCACCTGATAGATATGATATTAAATATTATGTGTATATGCAGGTGATTCAGAATAATTTCTTAAGTCATGGAAGTCTATGTTCAACAATTATGTGAGTAAAATTTAATGAAATACTTATAAATAATTAAAATAAAATTGTTATTTTTAGGCGCCCCCAATAGATCTTAGTACAGCCCCATCTTAAGTAACTACGAAAATATTCATAACAATGTGAAACTATAAAAGGTTATAGGTATAAGTAATAAATAATATCTAATATTATTTATCTGGTACTTACTATACTTAATTAACTATATTAAAGAAATCGACGAATTTTGTTACTAGTTACTAGATATTATAGTTGGGACTTGTCCATACTGGCGCCATTTCTCGTAAACCGACCGCTAGATGGCGATGCTCGTTTTATTAGCTGTTTGCACAACAAGCTGTAATAGAGGACTACAATATTGACAGACCATTAATTCGACAGGAAATTGTGCTGAAGCCGCGTTTGGTGCAGGTGATTGTGAACTTTTCAAATTATCCGCGTGTTTCATGGTTGTTTCTACTTCAAATAGACTAGCGAAGTAATTTTTTTATTCTTAGACTATAAAGTTGAACAAACTGTACAAAATACATATAAACTTGGGATTCAACCATTTGTGATCTAATCTAACGTACATATGGGTTGAAAGATACTATATGTATGTATGTATATAAGTAGATCTTCAAAAAAGAAGTAGAGGCTTTTTCGGAGGAAGCAACAGGTACATAATGTAATAAATGGTATTGCAGGCAATCACAGAATATGGTAACTGCTTACTACAAGGTGGATTGTATGCCTGTTTGCTACCTGAGTGGTATAAAAAATTTAAAAAAATTAACTGTTAAAAAATTGATCAACGCTGTAAAAGAATAAAATTTAACTAATTTTAACGCCTAATTTTACATTTTCGAGATGACATTAGTAGCTAATCTCGTCTATTTATACTATATAATGATTATTATAGACACAAATAATATACGATAGTGAATATATTAGTTAAATATATATTACCTATACATAATTCATTGAACCTTATTTTCGTGACCATCGATAAATATGATATGCTAGTGTGATCTAATAATTTCCAATAACATTTTCCTTGTTTATACGAAACTCTAAATAAATGCCCTCGGGTCGGACGTACCTCGGGCGTCGCGCATCGGAGCGACGTATTCTTTTAATTAAGCCACGCGGAAAGCGTCGTAACTTTTATGAGGTCTGTGATTTAACTATTATTTGTCATCAATTTTATGTGCTCCTAAAACAAATAGTAGATGCTGATGGGAATGTACCGAATCAAATAAAATATTTTAAAGCTCTACAGTTTACTGCTGAAAGTAGTAGGTATATTAGGTATCTTTAAACGTAAGGAATATTTAATAAATATACGTATTTTCTTTAAAACATGTACTTATTGAAAAATATGTTTAGTTAATTCACCAATAATATAATATGATATTTAAAGTAGTTATATTTAAGTTATTTACTACTTTTCTCAACCGACTTCGAAAAGAAAGCGATTCTCTATCCGGTCGTATTATATTTGTTATCTCAGCATTCCATCTTATCTAAACAGAGTTTTTTCTTTATTTTCTTTTTTTCTTTGAAAGAATATACTTTCAGATTGGTCCCATAGATATTTTATCAAAATTAGTTTAGTAGTTTAAATCAAAATCATTGGTTTTGCTACGACTAAAGTTGGTGTTTTGTTTGAAATCATATTTAAAATATACATTACCAATAATAGATAATAAACATAATGTACATTAATTTTATTGATTGTCATTAGATACCAAAACAGTATTCATTATCTGGTTTCCTAAGAACAAAAATAGCTATTTAATGGATAACCAAAGTTTTACTATTTTAGTACTTATACTGTGGTTATACCTCATATTGCGAAAGATCAGATAATAAGACATTTGGACAAGGTATTTTTTTATTTTGGCTTTGTGGAGTGGAGACACAACTTAGTTAAGATAAAGAAATAACTTAATTACAGTTAAGGAGAAATATCGTCAAGAGAAAATTTATTTCTAATTATTAGTTTACAAAAAAAATTATATTCGAGATTTAAGTGGTCCACATTCATTAGTTTTGTCAATGTTAATGATAGGTAGTGCCATCTAGAGCATACGTATATAATTATTCCGCACTGTGCCATCTTGTGTAGAGTAGTATAAAACTACATATATACGGAGCAAAATACAAGTAGTTTCTAAATATTCCAGTAGATGGCACTAAATAACAATATTTTTTAAGACTATCATATTTTTAATATATGTAGTAACGGTAAATAAAAGTAATTAGTATTATTAATATTAAAAACATGAAAAATAATAATTATAAAAAAGAATATTTGATTTGTATTTTCAGAACCATATGTTGACTTATTAAGTATTACGATGCAACTTACCTCCAGGTTAAGTTGGTGTGTTTCCACTTCTCGCCCTGCACTGCAAACCTTTTTCTTCTCCGGCCATTTTCTTCATCCCCAATTTCCCTGTCAGGACGTCCACATCGCTTTTGTTTGAGCAAATTGGCGGTGGCTTCATCGATTTCACCCGTTACTGGAATGCCACCGAATTCCTGCAAAATATTATATAGTTTCAATCACATACACTAGAAGAGTTTCCTATTACCTATGGAAATTTCCCAAAACTATTACTAACTTTCTTGTTTTATGAATAGTAAACCGACTTGCAGCGTAGTCTAGCAGTAGTTTGATATGTGGTTTAAATATTTAGGTATACCTATTGGAACCGGATTGTTGAAATCATTTTTATAAAAATAACTATTTCAAAATCATCGATCCTTGACTTTTAATATTTTTTTATTGATAATTTTCTTATTTTTGTATTTATGTGAGAGCAGGAGTGTACCTTTGAGCTTAATTAAATACAGCGAAGTAATGCATGGCCGCATTACTGATGACAGAGACCACACAGATCAAATATTGATAATATATTTTAATAAAGTTTTTTTATTACTATTTAATAAACCATAGTGTATGTTTTTATAATAATGGTGCTGTTCCTGTCTATAGACGACGGCTATTACTTCCTATTAGGTGGCCGTCAGCTTATTTGCCATACTAAATTTTATAAAAAATACTGAATTGCATAATAATATTGTATAATATAACTTTAAAACTTACTTGTAACGTCTTAATAGCGATCTTAAAATCGTCCTCGTGTGCTTGCACGTCTCCTATTTGAAGGTTTCCCACCTCTGGATGACCTTTTCTGAGATAGCCAAACGTCTCCAGGTAACTTCTCTGTAAAAAGTAAACGGATATATATTAATAAAAATAAGAATTGTAATAACCATGACTTTACATTCGTGTAATAACCACATTGCTTTACATAAACTTATTATATTAGGTTTTTATAATCGTATTTTAGGGTATCAACGCCTCTTATGATTTGTCATCGAAAAGAATTTAAAATGTATATTGTAGGTGTTAATAAATATTGTATTTACAACTGAAACAAGATATGAATAAAAATATGTAAATTTATATAGAATATTGTTGTTTCGTATTTTTATATATTGCAATTTAATAACTTTTTTATTTAATATAATTCTCGAATTTAGGAGATAAAATATTCATAGAATCAATATAATCATATTTGTTAACTGTCCACTACTGAAAATAGGCCTCCCACCATAAGGGGTGGTTTGTCAGTAGTTGCCACGTTTGGCAGGCAGCTTGGAAACCTCAGTTAGGCTTTTGGTGAAGTTTGAAGACATGAAGACTTGAAGACAATCGGCTCCTGCCGATTTTTCGACCATGAAGTTCCCTTAGTCGCCTTTTATCTGGGTGTCAACCCACGGGAAAGGTAGGTGTGGCACATTCTACCACACGGCATTCACGGCACTCATAGTAAAATGTGACACCTTTTGTATTTATTGAATTATAATATCAGAGATGTATTTTTTTTTTAAAAACAGAAGATTCTCAATTCCGTTGTTTTTTTTTTCTATGTATGTCATGCGATATCATTGTCAACCGATATCATTATAAACCGATTTTGATTTTTTTTTTCAATATACGTGTTATACCTCTCATTTAGTATCTGTTTCTTCTACAGAGAATATTTTTTTATTATGTGATATATAAACTTAAATATATGCCGTCGCGTCCACGACAATATTTTTCTTTGCATTTTAAATTGTGTTCATTATAACCTAAATATACAGTATTACTTTTTAAACATCCTTTTTAATTGAAACCAGCTTCGTCGGGACCACAATACACCATTAAAGATGTCTTTGTGTTCATTTTTTGCTCCGTGCTTGTTTTTTTTTTACATTTCTGTCATCTGTTCCCTTCCGTTCATAAAGATATGGATATGACAAAAAGTATAGGGGTTAATACTCTAACCCTCATGTGTCATTCAAATTACAATACTACCCATTATAAAAACAAATTATTTGAAGTGACGTCGACGCTTCGTATACTAATAGTTTCTGTCTTTTTTAATAAAACTGTAATTTAAAAAAATGACTAATAAGTCTGACAGAATAAATTAAGAAAAAAAAACAAATTAAAAATTTTGCATATCCATAATTTTTATTCTATTGCCTATGCACATTTTTAAGCAATTGACATACATATCAGAATCACAGAAATTATTAAAAATAACATTTTTAACGTTTATTTATTGAATAATTTAGAGATCTAGTGGGATTCTATATTAACTTATAGACATCGGGAAGGTGGTATGATTGAATGTGAGCAAAATCAACATTTTGAATATTTATTATATAATTTTCTGGTTTACTCCTCCGTGATAGAAAACACAGCAAAATAATAAACTAAAAGCAACATATGGCGTAGGCTCACGTTATGCCACGTTCGATACAAAAGTGGTATTTGTGTACTAGTGATAAAATGTGAATAATTATTTCATCTTGTGCGTCTTGTGTCTACCAGTTCCGTAGCGGAGACAAACTTTGTTTGCAGAGGATGCCCGACTTGAGACAACAATGGAGGACTTAGTCAAGCAATCCACCGCCTATTATTCACTTGCTAACTTATTTTCCCTAAATGCTTCTGTTAGTTTTGTGTACACCTGTTTAGAAAGGACCGAACTTAGCTCCAAGAACAATTATTTGCTGTGGATTGAACTAACATTTTGTGACAGAAATCTTTATCTGTCCGTAATGTTACAGAGAGAAAGAAAGAGTTTGTATTTTGCTTAAGAAAGTATCCAACTTTTAATTTCTTTTCAATAAATTTAAAAAAATGAAGAAGATTCTTAATTCGGTTGATTTTTTTTGTTTGTTACCTCATAAATTTATAAACTATAAAATACTTTGAAAATTACTTTTCTTAAAAAAAAAAGATTTATCTACAGTTTGATTCCATAGAAATTTTATCATAATCGTTTTAGTAGTTTAGTTTTGAAATCAAAAGAACTGGTTTTGCTACAATTGAAGTCGGTTTTTTGTAGAAAATTATATTAATTATCTATTGTAAAAATCAATGTATATAAATGTACCTGATATTTCATTTCAGGACATAAATTTATAAGAATTAAATCTTAAGAATTCACTTTATATAAGAATTTTGCACAGATAAATTTTATGAAAATATTTTACGGAACGAGAGCTGTTGGGATTCGTGCGGACGAAGCCGTGGAAATTGTTTTCAATTTTAGCCTATTGGATGTCTTGGCTGTATGGTCCTGGCATAGAATAGGCCACTCCTTCTTTTCCCGTGTATGTTGTAAGAAGCGAATAAGGGAACTGAAAGGTAGAGGGGTGGACAGCAACGTCCCTCTTAAAACATCTCTAAAAGCCTAATCTTGCGAACTTGCCTGCCAAGCGTCACGATTACTGCCAAAACTCCCTTTAAGAAAGAATACCTATTTTCAGCAGCGGACAGTTAATGGCTGAAATGATAATAGATATCTGTTTGTTACTTTTTTATATGTCTTGACCATTCATTATTGGTATAGTTATAATAACGTTATAAATACAAAGGAAGACACTGTTAAAACAATGATTTGGTGGAAATGGCGGAGACAGAAATTAAACCCTATAAGGACCAATTGACCAATTCGATTTTCTAAAAAAGTCGCCGATTTTGCTAGTCTTAATATGTGCTATTTTATATTCTTAATTTAAAACAGCGACAGCGATAAACAAGTAGCATATAGCTCGCGTGCTAGCAAATCGTTATAATAAATAAAACATAGAGACAACATTCAGGGTGTCCTACATGCTTAATCGCCCTTTGTTAATTACGTCATATCAGCCGCCAACCGTCCAGTGCTGAACATAGGCCTTCCCCTATTAGTGGGTTTTGTCAATAGTTGCCACGCTTGGCAGGCGGGCTGGCAATTGCAGTTAGGTTTTGGTGATGTGTACAGAGGGACGCTGCTGTTTATCCCTTGAACATTAGATGCTCTTAGTCGTATTTTACGATACCCATGGGAATGGTAGGGGTGGCCCATTCAATGCTGGGACAACACGACGAATTACTTAATTTATAGTAATTAATTAAACACTAAAATGTCAAAAAATAATTCTATATAAATATTTAGAATTGTTTTATATAATATGGTTATTATATTCAGAGTATAGTACAATTATCTTTATCATAATATCAGCTGTTAACTGTCCATTACTGAACATAGGCCTCCTTCTATTGGGAGCCTTTTTTTATCTTATAGTAATATTAATTTACTAAATTGTCCAAAGACAATTCCATTCAGGTCAACATGGCAATAATATCTAGAATAAGGTGCGAAACAGATCTCATAAAATAAATGCAAATATCCTAACAATTAGGTTAACATTGGCGATGGAATAGAACCGTGTTAATTGTTTTCTATTATCACAGAATTTATTGCTGAATGTTTTGTCTCTTAATATTTATTAGTATTGTTATAGCTATTACTGATGGTTTTAATTATGCTTTAAAATTTTTTTTAAATTATGGAATGGTTTTATGTCTATCTATCAATCTGTCTGTCTGTGCTCATCGCCACATAAATAGAAACTAGTTGTGGCTGCGACTTCGCCTGTGTAACTAAAATAAAAAGAACTATACTGTTTTTCCCCTATCCCAAATACAGTATATAGGTATGCCAAATTTCCTATCTGATAATCAGTTTAATTCGTTTTCGTTTCATTTAATGCTCATTTCATTTTATTCAATTTCATCACATTTCAAATAATCTTTTTATAATTCTTATTATAAATTATTAAAAATATAAAAGAGAGTATGTCACTTCTTAGCGCCTTAACGGTTTAACTAATCACTGTAACATTTGGTATGTATGTTCTATAAAGGACAGAGAAAGGCATAGAGTAATATTTTTTACGATCAATCAAAATGTTCGCGAGTGAAAGCTAAGTAGTTAAAAATAAAATGACAAACAAATGATCAATGTTTATTTTAGGCAATATTTCTTTTATGAATAACTTTCCTCATATCTATTAATTTATACAGTATTTTAAATGTATAAACTTTTTATGTCTAAAATGTCGGATCAAACAAGAAGTAACTTATTTAAGTCACAAAGACAAAGTAGGGAGGGAAAAGTCTGTAATTAAATTCAATTATAGCATTATCTGATGGGTCTAATCGAAGCTAATCTATCAGTTGAAATTAAGGACAAATTACGAGAGGACGTAAATGTAGGACACTGGACGATAGTAGCAATTTCTAAATCACTAGTAATACCTAATGATCGCGTGACCATTCCTATTTCTTCCCTTAATTAAATGAAAAATGCCCACATTAACCTATGTGCTAGTTTTTGCGCACCTTAAACAGTAGACAATGTTTTATCTGTGTCTTGTTCTTTAATGATTTAATGACTGCATTATAATAGCAAATTCAGTCGGTAAATCGTATCTCGAAATTAATAAGTACATCCTAAACCCTAAAAAAATAATCTATTAAAATTGATATTATCTAAAATATACAGGTACATGTCAAATGCAATGGAATTGTATTCATTCATTAAGTATTTATTGCTTATACTATTAAATAATATGATATAATAGAATTAGAATAGAATATATATACACTTATAAATTGTAAATATTAGGTGGAATGAAGCGATCATACTCTTTTATTCCTAAACTATTTTAATTATTTTATTTATTTAAATAAAATTCTATAATGTCATACATCAAAATTCTTTAAAATGCGAACGTGTATTTGATCCTACGAATCATTTTTAAATGTTAATAATGAAATTGTAGGTATTTACCTATAATAAACTAGAAGGAAAATATAAAATATATTCCAGGAAA